ATATATATATTTATATATATATATATATATACATATATATATATATATATATATATATATATATATATATATATATTTTGTATATTTTTGTAACTTTTTTTGTTTAACAATGGCAGGATGGTGACAGATATTCCAGCAACAACAAATGCAAGCTTTGGTAAGTACAAATTCTGTGTTGTTCATGCCAGTATATGGCCAGGGTTAAAATTAGATGTAGTTCACCTGTTTCATTTATCAATTGATGATCAAGCTAGGGTTGTTAGTTAAGTTATTCATTTAAACCAAGTTCCTTTTCATGAACTTAATTTATAATTTAACTCCGTCTGGATGCAAGCCTGTAGCTAGAGATATCAGTTTAGAAGACATCTGGAATAAATCTAGGAAATTTATTCAAAAATTAAATATATAATTTGTTAATTTTTTTCTTTTATGTTATTTTAATAAGATTAACTTCTGATTAAACTTATCCCTGTGAGATTAACTTGAGCCAAACTGAAAAAACCGGTTTTAAAAACATAAGAAAATGAACATCAAACAAAGTGATAGGTAAATATATAGTTTTGTTAAACAGTGCTCAAATGATCGAATTTATTCATTAATTTTCACATGTTTAAGCTCCAGATAATTCAATACGAATATGGGAGGTTATAGAGAGAACGCTATTGTTACCTTTCATAATGACATGTAATAGTTACCCTTTTGTTAATTATTATGTGTATTATACAAGAGAATATGAAAGTGTGATGAGAAGCATCTGGTCACATTACAATCAGTGTATGGGTGGGTTTTTGAATTATTTTCTTGATTGAAGCAATTAATAGTATTGTTAAAAGACTTATGCATTATGCAGGTAGGGAGGTTGTGGTTTATGAGAGTCCACAACCTTCAGCAGGGATTCATCGACTTGTGTTTGTGTTGTTCCAGCAATTGGGCAGAGACACTGTCATCAGCCCAGAACTTCGTCATAATTTCAATTCCAGAAACTTTGCTGAAAATAATAACCTCACACCTGTTGCAGCAGCTTATGTCAACTGCCAAAGAGAGCGTGGGTGCGGTGGAAGGAGGTACTGACTTCAGTAAGGAATTTCGAGAACGTGTTAAGTAATTAATATGATATATAATGTCAAATAAAGAAAAATAATAGGTGTTTAGAGCAATAGTTAGCACACCACTATCAGTTAATGAGAGAAAAATAACAAGTTAGAACTAAATAAATAAAATCTCTCTTTTTAAAGAATTACAGAAGGTTATCTTCAACACTAGAGTCTATCATTCAGATACTTCAACAGATTATGGCTGCAACTCAAGAAAAAAGAAGAAAAAAAGTGTATGCATGGCTCGTACCTACTGCGACTTGATCCAGTAATATTATTATATTAAGAGTCTTTTGTTTTCAATAAGGCTTGCTTCAATAAACTACACACGTTATTACTACCACTTTTTACTTTACAGTTTTATAATATATTTTCGTTTCTAGTTATCTTTATGTATGAAAAAAAATATTAATTATTTTCTACAATAAGAGAAACATTTCGCTTTATTTGTTAGGAACAAACATACAATTTTCAGTTAAGATGTTCTAACGACTATCTTCACATTTGGACGTTTGCTTTGGTATTTTTCTTTTTATTAAAAGAAAAATATAAATATATTTAACAACTTGTACGCTATTTTCAGTTTGGCATATTTATAAGGTAAACCTCTCTTCGAATGAATAGTTTAAGAACTTAAATTTTGTAATGTTATGTGCAAAACTAATTTAAAAATAAAAACCAATGTTCTCTTTTGTGTTGTATATGGTTGATTAATTCTCGGCCATAAAGTATAGATGTCATTCTTGTACATGTAAGTTTAGTAACTATACTAAGTAGAAATGTATTCGGTCCATCTTAATTCAGTAAAAAAAAACTATAATTTACTAACAAGATTTTATCGACAAAATTAAATCTATCAATAATTGTAATATACTGATAAAATTCCTTGTTTAATTTATTGACAAACTTATCCGTCGATATTGTCATATGAGAAATTTTTTTTATGAAATAATTGTTGATAATATTTTTGCGAACATTATTGATGAAAAGACTAAATTAAACAAAATGAATGATATCAAAATTTCATATTCCCTCCTTATTTTCTCCATTAAAACACATAACCTTTTCCCACAAAGTTAAAACCTATTTTCTCCCCAAAACTAACAACTAAGACCTTTTGCCACCGTGATTCAACCCTTTGGTGAGCTTGTCGTCGTGGTGCTCTCACTACAAAAAAATTTTACTTAATGGAGGTTTTTTTTTTCGATTTGCGGAGTTTTTAGCCTTTGCAAAGTAACTTCTAGGGGTTTTTCAAACCATCGTAGTTTGAGTCGCCACAATCTATCTGCGGGAGTTTTCCGTTACCCATGATATCACATTCAATTTGCGAAAGTTTTTTATGCAGAGGGTAAAAACCTCCTCTATTACTGACTATTATTTTTTAGAAATTTTTAACCTCCTTTATTTTCAACTATTTGATCACAAAAAATACATGTATTTTTTACACTATTTTTAGGGATTAATATATGTTATTCAATTTGACATTTATACTATAGAAGTTGTAACCTTCTTCATTTGCATTATTTAGTTTGAGGTTTATTACTTTATTTTGCTAGCATTATTTAATTTATGTCACCATTTGAGGTGTTTATATTTTTGGGTCAAAAATATTTATTTGTAACAATATTAAAACATTAATGTAACAAAAGACATCACAAATTCATATAATTTCATTGTCAAAATCATCATAGCAACATAAAAGAAATTTAAAATCAAACCCATCCTTACAAATTAATTAATAATTACTCAATAATAAACTAGATATAGTTTTACCCTTAAAAAAATATCATAAACTCCCTAAATGTTACTTCCACCAGATGATTGTCTTGTACCCGAAGGAGACTCGGGCTCATTTGCATCACCAGCTTGCTTACATTGTCATCACCTGTATATAACCAAAAACAAAATGCTTGAAAGAAATCTTAGAACTCCATAGGTTCAACTTCCTCGTACGGTATTTATAGATGGGCAGTCTTGAGGACACAAATTTTTATGTTGACCATAATTTATATGTGAAATAAAAGGATTTTTTTTTCTTTTATGAGTAGGAGAGGATCTTCCTTGGGGTTGTTATCTGACTCAATGAAGTAGTAAAATGTTTGCACATCCTCAGATTCTCCCACTCCCACAACCTTTCATATCATCAGTTTCAACCAAATAATTTCAATCTCATAAGACAAAACTTAAAACCATATATAGGATTAGTAGTTAGCATTAAGAGTTTAGCTTATCCAGTTTCAAGAACAAAAGGAAAGGGTCCTTCCAATCTTGAAAGGAACTTTACTCTAGAGGTACAAGATGCAGGTTGAATGGAATAGAGTGATAAAAGAAGTAGGAAAAGTAGAATACCACGGCGATCCAAATCTGAAGAAGTGACACTTGAGTGGAAGCTCTGTCGTTTGCCGGTCCACACAACCACTGTTGCAGCTCCGTCTACCTGTGGTTTCGCGACTGCGAATCTGAAAGAAAAATAAAATATGGATAATCAAAAGGGGAAATCAAAGAAATCATAAGAGGAAATAAAAGAAGGAAGAAAGAAAGAGACGAACCAAGAAGACGTGTGAGGGAGAAAGCACGGTGGAGTGGAATGCAATGGACAAATGCAAGGGAGAAAGGGATTTTAGGGTTTAGAGGAATTTTTAGACGAAGGAACGGCTTAGGAAGATAGGGTTTTGGAATTGGGGGAATAAGATTTTACAATTGAGAGAAAGAAGTTAGTCTAAAATTTTTAGAGGGAAGAAATGTAAAAAAATTAGGAAATGAAGGAAGAAAATATATTATTGTTTAAAGAGGTTATAAACCTCTCCTAAAAACAATTATAATAACTCTCACTATTATTGTCAGTTAAATAATTCAAATTAAACATCTTAAATGATGTTAATTTAATGGGCTCTTTTATAACATCTGTAAAATAACCCCCTTTAAATAAGTTTTTTTTTGGCTTAAATGCTTATTTCGTCTCTATGTTAAGAGGTGAATTTTTGTTTAGTACTCGGTTTTAAAAATGAAGACATTGGGTCCCTATGTTATGAAAAGTGTATGAATAAGGTCCACAGAGAAAGAAAAAGTTCAACAAATCATCAAAGAAAAAGTTGAACAAGAGAAAAAAAAACCTGGACAGCAGAAGAGAGAAGAGAAAAAGTACGGCCACATCAACATGGACTTAACGTTGTTGTTGTCAACTTAACAAAGAGGACCTTATTCATACACTTTTCATAACATAGGGACTCGATGTCTTCATTTTTAAAACCGGGTACTAAACAGAAATTCACCTCTTAACATGAGGACGAAGTAAGCATTTAAGCCTTTTTTTCTAGTGTGCCCACCCTACCCTAACACTGTCAGCATTGAAGGACTTGTTGCCTTGTTGGATTGAAGCTTGTAACACCTCAATTTAAGATGTCAGGAGTAAAGTATAAAGTGTTCTTATTTGTGAAAATTTAAAGTCAAATAACATCTCAAACATTGGCGTAATAAAAATCTTAATTTATTTAATGATGACAAATCCCTTAGTCATGATCAAGCACTTACAAGAGAGTGAAAGTCATCCTTAAAGATGGTGTCAACTCCACCTTGTGTACTACCTTTGGAGTCATCATAGAGCATGGATTGAAAGAAGAGTAGTGAAGGAATTTAGGCCATTGTATTTGGCCATGTAGTGTAGGTTTTTTTAAGGCTTGTATTAAGGCCTAACTAGCATAGTATTTTTCTTAAGTTAGTTATCCAAACCAAGTGGAAAGTGTGTGGAGAGGATTTTCTTTTTAGAAGTGGCCACATGGCACCCTAGGAGTGGAGTGGCCACATGTCTCTCCACCATTGGAGAGGATTTGCTTTTAGTAAGTGGCCACATGACACTCTAGGAATGGAGAGTATTGTGTTTTGTAAGTGGCCACATGTCCTCCCATCATTGGAGAGGATTTGTAGACATTCGTCTACTCCTCATAAGGCCTCATTTTTGACCAATGAGAGCAAAGGTGAGAGATCATGCTTTTAGAGTTAGAAAGAGACACCCTTGGCCTATAAATAAAAGTGTCTTAACCCTTGTATTTCATCTTAGATTTAAGTAATGTTATGCTGCCAAATTGTAGCCATATACATCCTTGATCAAGACTCGAACAATCCTAGAGGCCCTTCTAGTCACCTACATCATGAAGTTGGCCTAAGCTCTCCTTGAACCATCAATCTACACTCAATTTTCACCATCTAGCTCAAAATCGTGACCTATCTTCACCACCATCACCATTTGCACATCATATTACTCCATTCCACCAAATTTCCACAACCATACCATCCATTGGGGCCATCTACTTTCTTCCTTCTAAGCTTTGGTCCAACCTAGCTCAAGGAGGTTGTTATCATTTAATGTCAATTGAATAAAAACATAAACAAAAGTCTAAAAATTCCAAGTAATAAACTAAAATTATCACATAATGTTTAAATAAAAATTGTTTAAAATAACCAAAAACAACTTTAACCACTCTCCAAATCTTGTTGCTTTACTCATCAACTAGCACATCTATAAGATCATGATCCCGTATAATAAACAAGTTATACGATCATCGAACAAACACAAACAAGAAAGGGTATGTCATCACAAAGGTATGTCACCCCCTAACAACAAACCACAGCCAATCAATGCCAATATAAGTGTTGTCTTTCTGTTTGAAACCTGTTCACCAAAATTGGACAGTTCGAGTGGTCCTCCATCATACCTTTGGACATATATTCCCTATTCCTCAAGGACTCATGAGTAATAACTTTGCTGCTACTAATAACGAGCATTATACTCAGCACGAGCCAGAAACATATGGGCGAGTCATTCATCACTTTTTACCACATGAAAAGAGGAAAAGGCAACACTTGAACCTCATCTCTCATAGACGAAGAGATCCACCTTTCTACTCCCTGAAAGAAAGGTGACTACCTTTCTATCGCCATGCAGGACGAAGGGTACAACCCCGAATTTACGAAGTATGACAAGGAGACAAAACAACTACATATCATCACAACATCCAATAGCTCGGCACACACACCCAAACAAGGTAAACAACTTTGCAATGACTCAGAGTACCTCGTCCAACAATCATAGTTCTCACAACACTCAACAATTAATTTTTATCTACACCCATAATCCCACACCAAGAGAAACAGCTCGCACTAGTGTAGAAAAGGGCTTCGATGTTGGTGTTTTTCGGCCTTTAACGTCCAACCACAAGCCAACGTCATAATGGGAGATATTA